GATGCTGTCACAGTGAATTAGCAGTGCTTTCTTTTCCCTGTAGTCCATCCTAGGCTTTTGTCATTGAAACATCCCCTTTGCCCGTATCTACTTGTTAAAAGACAAAGTGGAAAAAACCCGAATAAATTCACAGAACCTGTGCCCCCCAAAAAGCCTGATTATGATATGCTAGTATCCTCTGAATGGAGACTCTCAACAGCACGGAACCATCACTGCTGAAGACTGTTACAGCATAAACATTACAGGGGATTCAAGCTACAATTACTCATTTTGTACAGTCACTTAATCCACTAATGGGGAGAAATGGGGCAACAGTTTAAGAAGGCAAGAGAACTGTCAGAGAGTATTAAATCTACTGGGATGATTTGTTTTGGTAGTCTCTCTTGACCCAAGTACATGCTTCAGCTAATGCAACAGACTTAATGCCTATGGTAATTAGAGCAAGAAGTGATGGGTCATCATTAGCAACTGCAAATTAAGGGTTGTATTTCATCTGGAAGGCAGCATCTTCAACTGAGCTTATTTGTTGCCACTGCAGATCATCTGTGAGTCACAAGTGGTACATTGGACTGACTCATTTGTGTGATTGAGTAGAGGCTGTTTAATACATGCTTACTCTTCCATACGAGTAGTTATTCTAAATAGTTGGCAGACAGAAAATGCCACAGTATTGGACTTCCCATACAGTTAATACTACTGCTCTTATTTACTTGGTGATTTTTTTATTTTTGTACAGTTCACACTTCAGATGATTTTCAACTGTAGGTTTGAAATATATTTGTCATATCTATGAAAATGAAGAGTGAAGAAAGGAAAGCCAGGCAAGCATGGAAAGCATCAGTAATTGGCAGCTTCAGAAGATATGAGAGCCAATCTACTACCATTCATGGTGTATAATCACAGAATACTTTTTTGTGGGTTTCACAGATCCATGATCATATTCAGTTCTGGATGTTGCCAATGGCATGAATGAAGATAATATAGATTCAGTATTTTTGCAGATACTAGGAAATCCCTAAATCCTCTTAGACGAATGCTAATAAGCAAATGAAGACACAGGTACAAAGGAAATTAGCCACAAACGGAACTCCATGACAAGGTGCTATGAGGTGGGCATTGAAATAAAACAAATGGGAGGATGTAATATAGCTGAATCATTTCAGATGAACTTGTGCAGATCAGCAGGCAGGGAACTATGACTTGAAAAGACCACGATATTGAAGTGTGGCTTGAAAATGTTTGAGAACAGCTGGATAAATCAATGGATGCTCATGAAGTAGAACTTGAGGGACAGTCTGTGGTTAGCTAGCTGTGTAAGTGTTGCTGATAATGTCCTGAGGGACACAGAAGAGGGAAGGATGGTTGCAGTGCCCTCAGCAAGAACTGTCTGAGAGTGAGCCTTCCTCTCAAAAATATGCCCAGACCCGAATAGGGGCTTAAGCCTCTTTCAGAAATCAAGAGAAAAGAAAGGGAATCAGAGGTGTTAGAAAGGTAGTCATTCTCAGTGCAAATGGGAGCCTTCTTAGAGACAAGTACACATCCAGAATTTACTTTGTTAAATTAACAAAGCTCAAAATCTCTTCACAGGGCACAGATCCGTGATAGCTGATGGATTGTGAGCTAACTACAACTGAAGAGGCCTTTTCTGTTTGCATCTTCATGTTGTTGCCTGGCTTCGGCGGAGTGCTTTGTATCTCCGTGAAGCAGTTCTGAGCTTTTCCTGTCTGTTCAGTCCATGGCTGGCTTGGCTGCAGGCTGACACTCGGGAGAGCTGGGTGGGAACACACGGCCCTGGCTGATACTCTGTGAAGACACATTTCTGTGGCGGGTCATGGCCTGCCCTACTCAGGGAGTGTGAGCAGTGCGTAAGCTACTCAAAAAGCAACAGTTAGCAAACATTCTCCTTCAAGGAACAGAATCTGCCTGGTCCTAGAGAAAGGACCAGAGTCTAAGTGACAAGAGGGGTGTTCTTTCCTTCGGTGCTTTTCTCAAGGAGTGAGGAACTAGAAATAGCCTTTCTTCACTCCCTCTTGCTGGTGTGCCTGGGGCATTGAGTTGTTGTAGGTTCAGAGGAAATATTTTCTCGGGAGATTGTGTTTCTTAGCATTTGGAGCTTGGGTCCATCTCGGGCTTTCTCCATTTGTAATCTTACTTTTCTATACAATCACATACAGGACAGATGCTCACTGAGAACAACCAACCTGGAGCATGGGTTTATTTCTGTAGTTTTGGTGGCTAACTCGAGGAGAAGAAAAAAAAAGACGGAAGCTAGAAATCCTGAGGTTTGAATGGATTGAGCTGCAAAAGCAATGACTACTGGCTGAAGATAGATGAAGGTTTCACTGCAACAACACTGCATCAGTTCAGCGGATCTCAGTGGAGAAGCCTGGGTTGTTCTTGGTCTGGTTCTGTGTCCTTTTTTATCTCTGCAGATGTTTCTCTCTCTGCACTCCCCTTTCTCCCTTCTGATGCAGGTTTCTCCCACAGTAATATTCCCTCCTCACACATGGCCATCTGCCTCTACTTTCCTCCTATGTTCTGTGCTGTCTGGTCCTCATGTAACAAACAAGTGTCCTTGTGATATCTGTTTTCCTCAGTGAGGTCAAGACTGGCTGCTGTCTCCCATATGACTATGCTGCTTTTCCCTTTACAGAAGGGCCTGTTGCTACTCTAACCTCTACTGTATTTTGCTGTTGGTGTAAGGGCCTTTATTGGTTGCAGTATTTTCTGTCAGTCACATAGCACTCTTCTCTTCCTACAAGGAGCATAATAAATCCATAGGCACTCGATGCAAGTTGTCCATCTGCCGTGATCTCCTGCATCCAATTCTTGTAACTGCTCTTCTTTATTTCTTTGGATTCATTGAAGTCCAGGGAAATTATGAAGCAGCAAGTCCTTACACCTGGAGCAAGGAGTTTTCAGAGTTGAGAAAAACCTGTGTTTGATGTTACATTTGATACTGAATTTCTTGTTGCTTTTTCCTCAGCCATCTCCCCTTGTAGCTCCTTAACAGTGATGGTAATTTATTCTCTTCAAATGGCAGGAGCAGGCAGGAGCTGTTGCTCTGATCCTTGAGCTTCAGCATACATTTGGACTTGAACTGAAATATGCTTGAACAGAAAGCAAAAAGGCAGTCCTTGTCCAAGACTTTATGCCATCTTCCCTCACTGTGAGGAGGGGGAGCCAGGGACATCCAGACCCTCTTGGAGAAGTGCTTCCCAATACAAAAGGGGTTATAAACATAAGGTGTGTTACTGTATATAAGAAAAATGACCAAAACCACCTTCTTCGTCTGTCTGCCAGCTCCTGTGACTCTGGACAGCTGTCGTGAGGAGAGATGTTATAGATGCAAGAAAGCAAGGCTCTTAATCTCCCCTTGCTGCCCAATACACGGCTGAGGTTCTGGGCATTAAAGTGATGTATGGTAGTGTTAAAGTTTTCTCTGTATGTACAGCTACTTGCCTGAGGGGGCACAAGGCAGTTAATGTTTTAGGGACACGCTTTGAACAGAATCTGACTATTTAAGAGGCTCATTTGCCTCCCTTGCATGCTCTGCTTGGACTAAATCCCATCCAACCTGCCCCTGCAAGTCCTTTCTGACCTATTGTTCCACTCACCTTCGTTCAGATCCTGCCTTTTGTCTGGCTTCCCCAGCAGAGCTCGCATACACTGAAAGACAGCCAATGAGTCTTGAAGTGAGCAAGGCTAAGGTATGGTTCCCTAAAAACTGGGGGGGCTCACCTTTTTCAGTGCCCAACTCCCACAGAAGCTGGTTTGGGAAATAAATGCCTACATGTGTTTTTGGAGGAGTCCCCCAGTCCCTCAGCAAAAAGATGAAGGCAGATGCCTGGGAGGCACAGAGGAAAGTTTGATTTATAGATTCTGGGGAATCAGATGTCCCGCAGGTATTGGTACTCTATTAATGTACTTGGTATTTGACTGTTAGTAAAGAATATCATGAAGGATAACTAGCAACAACAGTGCCTGCCCTGAGGTAGCACACAGTGCTGTCCTTTGCCAGCTCCTGTAGAGGTAATAAATCAGTCAAGGGATGTCAAAGTTCAGTTTCCAAGGGGAAATAATAGTTTTACTCAAAAGTAGAGCAGCCTTCCTTAGTAAGGGACATGTAGCAGCACAGGATCTCATCTCTATACTCTGTCACTCCCTTCTATGTGCTGACGTACACTTTTTTCTAAAAGGCACCAACCCTCACTGGATCAATGAGGCCTGATCAATTGTTTTTCCCTCTGAATTATCCATATGGGGTTGTTAGCTGAGCTGCTGGCAGAAAACAAGAGACAGCTTTCTGTCTGTTTATTGTAAAGCAGGCAAAGCAAACTACAGGAGGGGACAGGCTGCAGGATGTTTACTGTCAATACAGCCGGAGAGAGAGAGGAGATATAAGGAGAGGGGAGCAGAGGCTGCAGACTGCAGCCCGAATCAATGATCTGAGTGTAAAAATACCCATGCAGTTTCAGAAGGAAAGTGGGTGGATTGAAGTCAACAAGGGATAGCTGAGTGTTTAACAAATGGTTTAGTGAAGGGCTAGTGAAGCAGGGAAGTACTTGTGGCACACAGAATAGCAATGCTATGCATGGGCATACTGAATCTGCAGTGCAATCTGAAAGGCACTTCCAGATCTGCCCTGAGACAGAGCAGTAGCTGGGGTATTTCTGTGTGTGCCTGCATACAAGACCTGCCATTTAAAAGTAAAAAGATAAATAATGATTGAACTTAGAAAATAATAATTTGAGCTAATTTTCCGAGGCAGCTGGATGTCACCATTGTAACTCAGACCAGAATCTTTTTTTTTTTTTTAAACAGGCATACTTCCTTGCTTCTCTCTCCTCTTCTTTATCTACAGAGGAAACAGGTGACCTGAGCTTCACAGGGCAAGAAGGCTCTGAGCAGCTCACTCTGAGTGGTCCTCTACTTCCAGAGGCAGGTGAATGAGTGAAGAGTGAATTCACACTTTAGAAAGCAGTGAAGACCGTCTTGCCATGAAACCATTCACAGATGAAGATGTAGAAATCTACATCCAGAGTAAGGTAAGGCTTTATGTGTCCAGATTTTCTGCCTCCCACACTAGGTGTTGATTCTGAACGGTGCCAGACTTGACAGTTAGTTGCTTGCCTGCTGTCTTCATTTCTGAGACAAGACTGGGTGAATTTTTGTGAGAACTGTATTTCTAATGAGATTTCTAGGTTTCTGTTGCACAACGTTATCAGGAGTCTCAGCTAGTAGCCTGATTTTTCAAGGTACTCGTCCTCTTCAGGTGTCCTGAATTTTTGCTCCCGACTTGGAATTCCAGATGTGAGACTAGCTGTAATTGCCAGCATTTAATCTAAGGAAAGGTCCTTGCCTCACTCCTTGTCCAGTGGTCTTGGCTTATGAAATCACACCAGGCGTTGCCTCTAAGAAAGATGTATGTAGGAACTAGAGAGACAGACAGATACTGTTAGAATTCACCCATCAGTCTGTCACCTCAGCTAAGGATATTTCTCTATATACCATGATTAAAATAACATACCGCATTAGCACATGCAGGCTGGAACATTTTCTATTCTATGTCATATTTCTGCACTCGATTATTTTTTTCCCCCCACCATTAGGAAATGAAGTAAAACAGAATGAAATTATCAATGAAACAATGCTGTTTAAGAAAGGTAACTCTGAGCCATAACATTTTTTTAAAGCTCACATGTTTCATCACAGTACTCAGCTAGTTCCTATTTTATAGTCTGCTTTCCCCAACAAAATGCAAGACACCAAAGTGAAAAGTAATTTCAAAATGGAAAACTGTGAGGCTTTCTTTTCTGTAAAGGATGAAATATTCTGGTACCATCAAGGGGGTGGTAAGAAAGGTTTGTTTTCTTCATGGAAATGTTTTGGTGACAAGTAGGTGTATGTCTGTGAGAACTTTCATTTTCAGCAATGCAGTGTTGTGCGCCGGAAAATCATTCCATGAGAATCTGTTCAGTGAGCTATAACAGTGAACACTTTCTGAAGATTTTTAAAGTGGAGCCACAAAGGAGGGAACAGAGGGAAGCCATGCACAGGAAGATGCTCATATGACTGCCATAAGTACAATGAACAGAAACAGAGTGTAGCTAAGTGAGGCTGATAGTTGCCAATATTTTAGGTTCTACTGAAAGTCTGTTTTCTAGCAGCCTTCCATGGCTGGATTCCTAGTTGCTGCCTTCTCCTGAGCCTCCTGTCCAAATAAGGCTGCCTAACTAACCTTCAGGCAGCCCCAGTTCTGCTTGTCAAATGCTGCCTGCTTTTGAAAATAGGTCAACCACCTGATGTAATGAATCTCTGTGATACCAAAGATTTCTTCCTTAAGCTGCTCAGCAAAGGAAAAATTCAAGTGCATACAGAGTGGATGTGACTGGGTAAATAAGAACAAACCCAAATGTTCTTAACAATCCCCAGTAAATCCCAGTCCTGCTTCCTTCCTTCATAATGGAACCTTAAATGACCTTGTTCGGGTTTTGTGCATTTGTTTTGGCATGATTTCCAATGTTACGACCTGGTAAGGGAGGGATGCCAGTAGGTGGTAGAAATGGTGGTCCAACAAAGAGCTTATTCTGTCTCTTCTCCCAACATGTCTGTGCTGATGCTAAAGACGTCTTAGATAAATGCCTTGGCTCTTCAGAAGCTGCATTCACTCACTCATGTTCTGTCTTATGATTTTTTTTTTTATGTTTTCCCTTCTATAGGAAGGTTGTATCTTCCAATAGCATGATTAGAGAGCTACTTGTGGTTAGCAACGGTTAGCAACAGTTAGCACCATCTGTCACGTGCCCTTTGTTCTTTTATCCCTGCCCCGGTGATGAGGAGTACATGCAGAAAGAGTTGTTTATTGCTACCTCCCTTAATAGAGTTTTTTGAAAGTCTACTCTCTTAAAGGTTTCATCACAACTGCTGTAGCCTAGCCAATAAGTGATGAAGGCACAATTAAATGAGGCTGGGCTGGGCCGGATGGATGCTCTCAGGATACTGGAGATGGCAGAAAGTGTTCCTAGCAGGTGCCCCTTAGAGAGAACGTTGCATAAGTGATGCTTGCAGGGACACTCTTCAACCTCTGTTTGGGCTGACCCACAGTGATTGTTACTTTCAACAGAAAAAGTCTGGGATTTGTGTTTAAAAGCTCTTACAGGTGGACAGCTTTCTCTGCCACTCGTACCATTTTCTTGTTGGAGAAACCATTAGGTGTCTTGTTGAGCAAGTCGAGCTTATTGGACTGCTCTAAGGAGTTCTTCTGGATGAGCAAAAACATGGCAGAGAAAACAGTGATAGCTACAGATGGAGAAGTGCCATAAATGAAAGCTGAGATGAGGCAGTGAAAATGAATATGGGCTAAAATTTTTCAGTATAAATCATCTTCTTAAAAAAAGAAAGAGTACGTGTAAGCTAGCTAAAATTGGTCTTGGAAAACAAGGGTGAATTGGAATGAGGAGGAGGGTGAATTACTGGGGAAATTAAAGGGTATTATATAAACGTAAGGAGCTATGTGTTGCTAACAGAGTTGCTAATAAGGTCAGGATGTCAAGGGTGGCTGAGAGCCCAGCAAAGGGAATATGATACTGCTATCTGGTGTATTTTCCACTTGCGAAAACTATTCAGGCTTAGTAAAAATACCATTAACTTTGTTGGGGGGTAAGGGGGGAGGTATTCAAACTCTGCTCATCTTTAAGTTCAGTATTAGTCAATTGCCTTTCACTGGTTAATTGTTCCTAGGCGAGCACTAGTCCTTTTTAGTTCATTGTTGTGAAGAAGTGCAGATATTTGTCACCTCCAGGTCTTGTAGACACATTTCAATGCATTTGACTGTTTTGTCTGGCAGTTCAGCATTTGACGTAAAGATGTCCAAATGGACTTTTAATGAGGTGCTTGTCAGTGGTATTTTCTAAAAGGGAGAGGAATGTTACTTAAATGCTGCAGCAGATGCTAAGCAAGCAGTTCACAGGAGTTTTAGAATAGAATCACAGAATGGTTTGGGTTGGAAGGGACCTTTAAAGATCGCCTAGTCCAACCCCTTGCCATGGCGGTGACACCTTCCACTAGATCAGATTGCTGAAACCAACGTCCAAGCTGACTTTGAACACTTCCAGGGATGGGGCATCCACAATTTCTCTGGACAACCTGTTCCAGTGCCTCACCACCCTAATAAAAAATTTCTTCCTTATGGCATTGCTTGCTTTTTCTTTGGTCTTTGATAATAACAAAAGACTGTAGCAATTATGTTTGACTGTGGTAATTATGCTTGATCATTCACTTTAGCCAAGCTGCTAATGATCTAAACACTCTTGTTTCATGCCTACAACTAGCCCAGCTGGGGTTTTAGTTCTACCTTCAGGTGGATTTTCATTTTCTGATCTAGGCCTTTCAAACCTCTCATCTGTTTCTGAATTTTGTTCTTGCTTCCAAACAATGATATTTAGTAGAATATGATGAGGAAAAAAAAAAAAAAAAAAAAAAAGGCAACTAAAGCAAGGATTTCAATCAAATGAGATAAAGCATTAATATGCAAAAAAGCATAGTCAACTCTCTCATATCTCACCCTGCACAGGTATTCTAGATGAATAAGTGATGAGGAATATTTTAATGAACATCATTAACAGTAGCTGAATCTGCTCCTCACTTTGGTAAATGTGTAAGGATCTTTAGAAAATATTTAAATATCCTTTACTAACATGGTTCCTCTGTGTTCCTCCTGTTGAATCTTCTTGTTCTGATTTTGACCATCCCCTTGTGCTCTGTTCATTTTTAGTAGTATGTGAAGGTTTAGATTCATCTGTATATTTTCGAGTTGTCCATACTTCATCTCAGTCCTTCCAAGACTCAGACCTTCCATTGAAATAATTTTTAATAAATTATTATGCTACTACTGCTTGAATTGAAAGACTATCCATGAAGTCATACAAACACCTAGTCCCCAGTGGGACTAACTGTGGAAAGATACCTTCTCACCATCTAGCAATGGACTCTCATCTGTACTTCAGATATGAAGACAGTATGGATACTCAACATATTATGCAGGCATCTAAATGCTAATGCACCAAGGTATCTGTAATTCTGGACCTCTTCTCAGCTCATGAAGTGAAACATATCTTGGCTCTGGGAATGCCAAGTATATGCAGGGGAATAGCTGGGTATTCAGCATCAAAATGGGTAAAGAATGAAACCGTAGCTGGTTGACAGCAATTTCATCCATGAAATGAACCCCTTCCATTCCATCCACTGGTATTGGCATGGAAATATCAATTAATGCTTGGCAGTCTTCCGTGTTGGCCCTTTGGTGTTCACAAGCAAGAGCTCTGCTTCATTGTAAGTTGGTTGTAACATAGAGGGAACAATAAGTTTTATTCCTAGTGCAGCACAGGCACAAATGTTTCAGGATGCCTTAAGTCAATTGTCTGTTTTCTGCGGGAGACAAAGACTGAAGTTACCTGTAATGTGAAGTGTCTTTCTTGGAACTGACAGGTGGAACAGCGACATTATCTGGTTTCCAAGGCAGTGGAGGAGGTGCAGAAAATCATCCAGCAACTGACCGCAGAAATCAGCTGTAAGGCCCTGCGATTCCAGGCTATCTCCAACTCTGGCATTCACAATGAGAATATTAAGGTATAAACAAGAGCTCTAATATACTCTCTGGGAGCTTGTGGGCAATCAGTAGGTGATTTCTCCATTGTAAGTTTTTTGTACAGACAGGTACCTTACCCAAAATGCCACAGACAATGCATGGACACTTCACTGTGGAAGTTCTAGTGATTGAATGGGTCATAGGGACTTACTCATGGATATCTTGCAACTAGAGGATCATCAGAGAGGGCCAGGTAAATCAGGCAGAGCCTCTTTTTACAGCTACTGCTTTTACAAAGAGAGTCTATTGCCAGAGCTGTCGATCTGCGAGCAGAAGCCAAAGCTCTTTGGGAGACAGAAAGAAAAACTTGTACAGCAGTAACATAAGAAGAAAAAAATGCTCATGCTTTCATGAGCTGTGACTCACATTTTTCACAGGTGGAAAACCTGTCAACTCACTAAAAATCAAAAATCCTTCTTCCACTATGAACATTAGAAAGCTCCTTCAGATAAATACGTTTTTTTTCCTGGTCACAGACTGGAACTTCTTTTTTACTTGGAAGAAATATGCTTATTGGTCGGAGACGTTAAATGCTTCCCCATTTTAGACAATCGAATACCAAAACAGTGTTCTCTCCCAGCTGTGACAGGAGAAGACTGGTTGTTTCGTGTGACTACTGAACACAAGCATACCCAGTGTAAGGGTATAAGAAACAATCATAGCAGTGGCAACTTCAGATGAAAGTGATCTTTTTCATCTGAAGTAGTTTACGTACTTCAGCTATGTCAGCCCTTACACTAAAATGCAGCCAGTTGTGGATCAAATCACACCAAACATGTAAAAGCATGAGGCAACATTTGCAGCTGTTTAGGAATGAAAGGGTAAAACTCTGTATCGAGCTGCTGAAAGGATATGGATGTGGAGGCAGATTATAATCGTCCAGTCTGAAATGTGACTATTGCTCTGGGGACAAAACCATTTGGATTTATATCTTTTTTTTTTAATTTTGCATATCCCTGGGCATGTGGCCTTACCAGTATAAATGACAACAGTGACGTGAAACGGTGCCACATCCTTGTCCATGTGTTCCTTAGTGCTGTAGTCTGCCATCCACCTCTCTTGCTGGAACAAACCTGCTTGGCTAATGAAGTCTGACAAAACCAGGGTCAGGGTAAAATTGCTGTTCTGGAGAACAAAGCAGAACAATCTATTCTGAGCAGTAGTTTGATGTTACGGTAGGCTGCTCTGAACAACCTCTGCTTAAAAGAAATCCCCAACATTTGTTTTCTTAAAAAGCAGCAGATATGTTATTGATACTTAACTGAATCCAGTGCTGTAAATCTGTAATAGTCACTAGGAGGACCTGGATATCTGTCCTGTAGGTATGGTGCAGTAAAGAATCGGTTAATAAGAATTTTTTTTTGGCTTGGGCTGTTCTGCTTCCAAAAAATGGAATCTTTAATATTGCTCCTGGCATAACTCAACACAGAGGAGACTTGTGTCAAGGGAAAGTCAATGTATTAACTATCCTGTGTTTAATTTTGAAACATCTTTTTTCCTGTCAATTAAATTTAAAGGAACTTTTCAAAATTTTCAGCTTCTGATTAAAAGGACTTAATTTAACATGATTCTAAATTTGCTGAGATGCTACAAGCCTCCCTCTAAATATCCAGGGCTCGGTGGGGAATACAGAATAAAAGTCTTCAGATATTCAATGTGTTTCTGTAACCCAGGGGGCAAAAAGTCAATATCATTAATAAAAAACTTGAAATAAAATTCAGATGGACAAAATGGAATATTATTTAAAAACTTTGAAGTGTTTGGTTTTAGTTGTGGCCCACCATTTTTGCAGCTGTCAACTGTGTAGGGCTGATGCAGAAGCTGTGGAGGCTTCAGTAAGGCATAATGAGCAGGTTAGCATCCAGATTAATTACTAGTACAGCACTGCCCAACAGCATTGCCAAGTGTGTAACCCTGTAATCGTGGCGGCGTGAGGGTGGGATTTTCTTTTCACAATAGGCTCAAAGGAAGCTTGCAGCTTTGCTCTGTGAATGACCTGGAACATGCTTTCTCTCTGTTCTGTGTACTACTTGTTTTCCTTTCTGCTTCTCTCAGGATCAGGCAGCTTTACTGGCCAAGTGGTCAGCTATGCTTCGGGGGAAGCGCCCATTCCACCCATCCATCCAGGTACAAAGCCTTCCTGCCACCTGGTGCCTGCCGGTCCGTGTGCCTGCTTCTTCCTTGCCCACCCTCTTCTCCAGACAACTTCACCCACCTAACCGATCCTCCCATGACTACTTCATCCTCTATGCAAGAGTCTTGCTTTTTTGCTCAAAGCGTAAATATTTTATTTCTAACCTAATGCTTCTGCCTCTCTGGGGTATCCTGGACAGGAATGCAAGAATGAAGCTGTATTTAATTTGCCCAGTGTAACGCAGGCAGGTTTTCAATGCAGCAGAACTGGCCATAAGGTACACACCCCAGAATCTGAGGCTCTTGTTCAAGCCTGTGACTTGCTGGGGCCTGTGGTCCGCATGTGGCACGTAAGACCATCATGTGGCAGAGCAGAGGTGTGGGACTGGGATTTATTTAGGCGAAGAGGACACCAGCTGCCCAGCTTTACAGTGCCATCCCCAGCCTTGTGATTTCTGGTGTTTCCTGGTAAGCCCCAGGTGGAGGAGCATTGTCACTTGTATTTTGAAGGCACTCACATAACACCTGCAGCTCTCCCCTGTAAAATCTGTTGGGTGCCAGTGCGTACAGGTCAGCACCTTGATATGGAAAGGAACGGTCGTTTATCTGCAAACGTGGCTGAGGCAGTGTGATGAGCAGTAACTGCATGACAGCCGTTGTATTTTTTTCCTTATGGAGCCTACCACTTCGTTCCTGAGCTGCTCACAGAATTTCTCAGCCCCACCAAACCTGACTTGTACAGGTCAGCTTAGTCTGCAGTGTCACCCTTCCTGTATCCTCCTGCCTTTAGGTGGTTTATATTTGACAAAAGAAGTGCTTTCTGGTGTTTCCTCTTCTATTTCTGTGCTTCTTGCTGGCCATCTTTTGTGTTTCAAATCTCGTGCTAGGGAGCAGAGAAAACTGGCTGCTCCCAGTGGGAGAAGGAGCTGGGAGGTGAGCATGACAACATGGCAGCGCCTGCCCCATGGCCCCTGAGTGAGGCAGACCTAGGCAGGGCAGCTGGGCTCAGCTGAGTGTCTGGATTGTCAGGCAAGTCTGTGCTGATCAGGCAGGTCTGAGCTCAAGCCAGGAGCACTCATCGGGGTCCGGATCAGGCCCAACGATGGTAACCAGGGTCAGATGCAGTCTGTTGATTGCCAGGCAAGTCCATAGTGGCCAGGTAGGTCTGAGGTCAAGCTGGGAAGGCAGTCTGCAGGTAGGGCAGCAAGGTCTATGGCCAGGCACAGGCACAGCTGTCACACGGTTGGAGACCAGCGCTGGCTAGGACACAGCCTGGAGCTGAGCTGAAATGGGGTCCCAGGCCCATGGGCAGAAGGTGTGGGTAGAAAGCCCAGAAAGGCTGCTTAGGGCTATTAAAGCCTGTTAGTGCCCTAAGGGTCCTGGCACCTCTGCAGTAATCTTTTAAATCAGCTGAGCTACCGGGAAGGCTACCAGAATGTTTTGGATTATTACAGGAGAGTGACAAGCGTGTCATTCACCTCGGGTGTATCCACCTTGCAGCAGCCGCTGTCACTTCACATCCTGCTCGTGCAGCAGTTCCACCTTATTAATGCCAGCAGGAGTTAGGCTTGGTAGCAAGTGGAGTTGAAAAACTGCTGAGTCAACGCGGTAAAAATCTGAAGGAGTCTGAACGCCCTCTCTGGAGCCGTGATTGCCAAATGCTTCCAAACTAGTGTTTGGAGATGTCTGGCTATACCCTAGGCCAGTGTGAGGTTTCGTGGTACCTGTGTCACCTTGTTCACTCTTCGCAAATACTGGTTCAGCACTGATTTTATTGGAAAATGGTGATTTCCAAAGTGAGGCCAATTAATTGCCTTGCAGACAAGCCTGTGTGAGGGTTTGTTGTCTGCTGGTTACTGTTTCCATCCTTATGCTGTTTCTGGCTTCTGCTCAGCAGGAGATGCAGTTTCATACAGTACAGCTGGCCAAGACCTGGACTTATTTCTGAGAGTGCCACTGCCTGCATAGGCTCAGGCGTGTCGCTTACCTCACGTCTCTGTCTCTTAAAGGACAGTCACACAGAGTGAAACACTTTTAAAATGAATGGGCCATAGCCTTATTTTACTAATTTCTGTAGTGGACTTTGAAAGAGATGAGAAAAGTGCCCTTTTTGCCATAGTTATTACTACTATTGAACTCTACGCTTATCTCTAGTAACAATTCTGAGGTAATAACTGGCACTATTTTGCTTCCCTTTGCTGGATCTCAAAATATGCCCTGTGATGCTTTCCTGCTCTGTGGAAGCTGCAAGTTACTACATCTCGTGCAACTGGAGACTAGAAATAACAAGGAATGGGAGGAAACCATGGCAGGTGTGGTGGCAAATCACTGAGTGTGCTCTTGTCTTCCATGGGTCATGACTCTCACATCAGACTTCTAAGACAATTTCCTTTTAGTCTGTGTACCTCCAAAGTAACCCTCAGACAGGCATGGAACAAGTCCTGGCTGTATTCAATTGTTCCCATCATATCATGGCTTTTCCTTCTCTCCAAAGCTCCTGGTTTTACCTATTACTTCCTTAACCTTCTTTTCCGTACTTCGGGCTCGCCGATCTGCCCTTGTCTCCTCTCTCAATCTCTCCGAACTCTTCTAGGTCTTAGCACCCAGCCAATTCCTCATCACAGTTCCTCTGCGTGGCCTGGCTGGGTACAGGGAATGCCAGGTACGGCACTGGCGTTATTACACCGTGCATGGAACCAAGCTCCTCTCCTCCGTGCGGGACCCTGAGGAACTGCATCAGTGGCTAGAGGTGGAGCAGTTCTCAAAAAGCCTTCAGCAGTGGCATGAAACGGACGTGAACATCGAAGGTGATCTGGTTCCAGCCAAAGTCCTTATCGTCTTCCGGGAGCTGGTGGAAAAGTCAATTATCTCCTGTGACCTGTCCAGTGAGTTTAGTGGGGACTGGTATAAGGGGAACTGGCTGTCTTCTGCAGCTGATAGAAGCAAACAATCACACACACAAAGTGTTTGTTTAGCTCACATGATCAGAAGTTAAGAAACAGCAAACACCTCCAAATGCAGGTAGCCTTTAGCCCATTGCAGTGATGCACATAAGACCAGCACTGAAGACAGAATTAAGTAGTTCTTGGGCTTTTCGTACCCAGGATGTTGCTCCTTTCATAGGAACTTGGGTAGGGTCTCCAGCAACATCACTCTCAATTCAACCAAGATGCAACCCAGATTTTCAGAACATTTAGGAATTTGGGAAAAATCTTTTTCTACTACAGTACCTGCAATATATCTAGACTATCAAGGAAGCTAGGATAGGAAAACTGGATACAGGGAAGGTGCGTGCATAAGTCTGAGGAGAAAGTGCTTGAAGACATGTATAGGGCAGATAATGCTCTGGGGACCTTAGCTGCCCGTAACTTTCCAGTGTGGCATGGTGGGAACTAAGCAGTAGGACTTCTACTTACACAAAGCCTGTTGGACAAGTGCTCTTTTCCCCAGTGTTCAGGCTACTCCAGTCCTGTTCAGCAGAACAGAACTCGGGAAGTTTGCTTTCGGTGGTGGTGCTGATCACTCTGTTCACAATCTGAAGTGCCTGTTTGTTGCCTGTGGCTAGTTGTACTGGAAGTGCTGATCACTGACATAATGCGCACTCTGTTCACAATCTGAAGTGCCTGTTTATTGCCTGTGGCTATTTGTACTGGAAATGCTGATCACTGACATAATGCAATCAGTGGTGCATGCAACATGCCTTCATAGCTGCAACATCTGTAGCAAGATGCTGCCTGAACAGTGATCCTCATGCTTAATTTGTAGTATCCTAGAGGCATGTTGTAGACTTCAGCTAATGAACACTTGGCTTGGTCCAAGCTAAATAGTCTATATCCATCTTTTCACAAGAAGATACTGTGACATATTCAAATGCAGACTGTGGTGCCTCTTCGCATAGCGTGTTTCTAGGATGACTTCATTCATCAGCAGCCTGGTATGGGTCTTCTGTATTCCGAAGAAGTAGGGGGTATTTACACTCATCTGACTGCACACTGAATTTGTCACAAGAGAAACGGAGGACTATGAGCATGATTAGGGTCCTGGAGCATCTCTCCTGCGAGGAAAGACTGAGGGAGCTCAGCTTGTTTAGCCTGAGGAAGAGAAAGCTGAGAGGGGACCTTAGAAATGCCTATAAATATCTTCAGGGTGGGTGTCAAGAGGACGGGACCAGACTCTTTTCAGTGGTGACCGGCAATGGGCAGAAACTGAAGCATAGGAAGTTCCATCTGAAAGTGAGGAAGAACTTCTTCACTCTGAGGGTGATGGAGCACTGGAACAGGCTGCCCAGGGAGGTTGTGGAGTCTCCTTCTCTGGAGATATTCAAGACCCGCCTGGACGCGGTCCTGTGCAGCCTGCTGTAGGTGACCCTGCTTCGGCAGGAGGGTTGGACTAGACCCACCGAGGTACCTTCTAACCCCTACCATTCTGTGAGAAAACATGTTAAAGTCAAGCTCAGCTAGATCATTGCATTCTTCTAGGAAATACTTGTTATCATAGAAATAGGAAGGTTGATGGGAATGAAATTTCACCATTTCCCTTGATTTCATTGCTTCCCTATTTTTTTAATTCTTTAAGCAACAGCAAATACAGAATTTTTGAGGTGTCTCACTTTTCATTGGTGGAAAAATAGGCAGCACAACTGCAATGCTTTTGGAAATGCTGTGAATATAACTACACACTGACACAGCAGTTGCTGAGGGCTTGGGAGCGGTACAGTTCCTGTTTTGGTGCCAGGCTTGGCTCGTCAGGGAAATAACATGCAGGTTTTACTGAGGGTTATAAAGTTCTAGTTGGGATGGACTCCATTATTTACAAGGTAATTCATCCCTGCTCTTCCTGCAGGAGATGCTAGATTACCATGGGGAGTAGGCAGATATTTCCTCTGTGAGGGTGGATGATGTTCATCACTGTTCCTTTAAGTCTGTTGTGTGGGCTCCTTGTGGAATTGCTCCTTAGCCCATGCTAGTTAAAATGAGGTGGGTTAACACACTACTATTTAACCTGCTTATGGTAATCTGCTCCATCTTTTACTTCACAGTGGGTTAGAGCATGATCATGCAATTGGCTTAGATGGCAAAGTTCAAGGGACAGTGGTCCTGCCAGAGTGACAGGGAAAGCTGGGGACAGAATCTTCCTCCATGAACACAGCTGGACCAACAGGAAACATCTCACTAAGTCCATTAGTTGTAGCTTTCATTCCTTTCTGCTGTCTTAGAGCACGTTGTTCCTGGAGGTGAGCCATTCTTCTTTCCTCCAGATCACTGTGGAACTAACTCTTCTTGACGCTCGGCAGTCCCAGTGAGACAAGCAGTTAGCCCAAAGGAAAACAAAAGCATGGTAACTGAGTGTAAAATTGAGAACTTAGTTGTTCCTTCATCTTCTTCCTGTTCTTGTTCCCCAGGTTAGATTAAGATCATAATTTTTTTTTCTTGTATTCTGCTTATGGTATTGAAGAGAAGGTGTTAAGACAGACCAACAGAACTGCAAGGCCCTAGACAGCCCCTTGCTTGGCTTGTGGAAAAGGACCTTTTCGTCTTCATTATCTTCTCGTGTTGTTCCTTCACAGGTAAAGTGACAGTGCTGGAGAGCTTCAGCTCAGTGGTCCGGGTAGCTGTGGAGACATCAGAATCCCAGGTCGAGGTGGAGCTGGTCCCTGCTGTGGAGATTCCAACTTGCTGGCCCAAGAAAGCCCAGTGGCCTCGTTGCTTTAAGCGTTGGCCTTCTCAGGAAAAAGTGCAGTGCATCAAGGTGAACGGTGTCAAAAGCACTACTAACTCTGTGCTAGAATTTACCTTGCAGGTGTCTGACAGTGGTTTCCCAATTGAAGGACTGCATGGTGATGGCAGGCAACAGCATGGCTGGAAGGTGTACTCTCTAGAGAAGCAATATTTCAAAGTATTCTGTCAGATTTTATTGGGATTTTTTTGCCTCTTATGGTGATGAATTATACAGAAGAAAAACTGAGTTAACTGTTGATTGCACGAGTCTTGCACACAGCTCTGCCTGTATGGCTCGCTCCTTGACACGCATCATTCTTGCTGTTCTGCTGTGCCTCATGTCAGCCTTCTGCCCATGGGCAGTTGCCCCCCCAGCCTAACCCCATCTTCCCCTACAAAGCTCATGGCTGGATTCTGGTTCTCCAGCTCAGCCCCAGCTGCCATGTTCCTGCAGGTCCAGTTACATCTTCCAGTCCTGCTCCCCTCTTGTGCATGACCTGCTCCTCCATGGCAAAGTGCCTGAAGAGCTGTGGCTCTGCTTTAGTAGCACTGCTGGTACTGCACCTGGCAGCCGTAGAGCTGGAAGTCCTGGGAGAAACTGATGTCAGAACATGAGGAAACAAAACAAATTGCACAGTCATTTGACTAGGAATTAGGATGGGACCATGACCGATGTTTGCTGTCCTGTCTAACCCTCTTTAGAATACAGTGCCCCACTTTAAGAGTAACATCCTTCTGTGTTATTCAGAGAAGTTTGCCAATGATCTGGAGTCACTTCCCTTGTTGTCCACAGTCACTTGGTTTCGACCTTTTGGCCCGCTCCAACTATCATTGGCAGCTGTGTTTCTCGCGTGCTGAGCATATACTCATGGAAGGCCTCGATGAAGATGGTGGCTGTCGCATGAAGTGCTACAGGGTCATAAGGCAGATGAAGGAAGATGTCTGGTGTGCTGGAAATAAGCCTGTCATCACAGCTTATCACCTTCAGGTAGGCATCACCATGATACCAAGATACAGTCTCAGTATCCGTTGCAGGGGCTTCCATCCAGTAATGTCAAAATATCACGGCATAAATCACTGTAGGATTCTTTAGGATTTCTCCTAAAGAATCTCCTGAGTAACTTCAAAGGTAACTGTCAAAACTGCTTTACAGTGGCAAGAAGTTCAGGAAATACATGTTCCAAGCTGCAACAAGAAACTAAAGTCTGTAGGAACATTATGACTGCAACAACATAGATAATGTTAGAGCTGAGGCCCCTGCTCTGTAGTGACTTCAAACAGGCGTTGTAATACTGTCTTTAATTGCACAGTTACCTCCTGCCTTTTGACTGTCCCACCCATCTATATCCATCTATCTGTCTGGAGGAAACTTGTGTTTGTCTGCCTGGATGTGCACTAAACAATATTCTTAGGTGAGCATTAGTTCATGAATGAGGTGGAAAATCTTCTGGTGTTTTACCGGGGCTAGGAAGGGAAGAAAGAGGTAAAAGGGTGGTAGCATCCTCCCTGCAAGTACTTCAGGCTTCAAGATGGCTTTACTTTACAAATAACATTTGTGAAGAAGAGACAGAAGGTTCTTCTATGACTGTGTCCCCACATCTGACAGCTGCAGGCATTGATGGCCAACAGGCAGCACCATTTATCAGACAGTAGATCAGTCCTGTTTTCCGGGCCTCCGTCCTCCTGGAGCTGCCAGGGAGAGGCTGCTGCTCTCCCACCCTGAAGCCTCCAGCCGCCAGGCTTTCACAGCAGTTACTGATCTTTTGGTGTCCAAACCCAGACACGATACCAAAATTTCTCCTAAAGAAAAGGTCGCAACCATCAAATGCTGTTGTAGTGGTGGGACTAATCTAAGTCAAGTTGAAGTCAAAAAAGAAATGACGAGGGTGGTTATAGCTTAGCAGAATGCAAAACTTCTCAGTGCCTATGAGAACAACCTGGTGGAAAAGCTGCCATAGATAGAAAGTGGAGAACCATTAACCCTTAGTAACGATCTCTCTCTGTCTCAAGAAGAGGTGCAGGAAGTGCTGTTGCATGGACTCTTGATCAAAATAAAAAGCTTTTTAGAAGCTCTTCAGCTTTTTACTGTAACTGCTCGGGAAAAAAAAAAAAAAAAAAGAGAGAAACGCTCAGTGGAGAAACCAGCAGCTGAGCAGAGGCATAGCGTTAGGTTTCTTCACATTATTAGGTTTCCACTGTCTGAGGTATCCAACAATTATTATTAAACAAGACTCCACACAAAAAAGGCCTGCTGTGACAGAGGAAATCCTCCCCCCCAGCAGTTGTGAAAGCCTCAGAGGACTGAGTAAACGCACTCATTATGCTTACCTCCATAGGAATGAAGTTCAAGATCTGGAAGGTACATTTTGAAAGCCAACTCTCTATGCCTCTGGTAGACAGCTGGCAGTTAGGGATGACTCAGTAAATGCTGGGGATAGATCACCTGTTTGGCAACTGACTGGAAGAGCAGCGCTGTTTTCCTTGCCTCCAGAAACTTCATTGCAACTGTTGCCCATGGATCTTGCTGAAGTAGTTTCCGTGTGATGAAAGATAACTGCTCTGCAAGTCTCCAAGGAGTAACTCTCGCAGAGTTACAGCTTGAATTCGTCTCTACGACTTTTTTTTTCACTGGCAATATTAAAAAAAGTCTTTGTGGTTATTGCAGCAGTGAACAAAAAATTGTTCACATTTGAAAAGCTGTCTGAGAAGAAATTCCTCAGCACTGCAACTACCGCAATGCCTACTGGAGGCAAAAAACAAACCAGGCAATCCAGAGTACTGTGGCTTATTTTGGTGAAATTCTACCTCTGATGAAGCAGAGGAGTCGAAGGCTGTAGTTTAGCCACATCTCAAAGTGTCTGTGGGTCTCTTTTTTGGGTTGCTGAATCTGCAAAGTGAAATTGGGCTTCAGAGGACACTAAGGAACTTGGCAGAATTATTGAACTCAGGATGGGTGACCTTGTACTTTTAAAACGGATTTCAGGTTGGCCATGACAGTCGCTATGGCTTTTTTGGTACCGTAAGTGTAAGGACCTCCAGAAAATTCTTCTCATTCATTCAAAAGTCTGTAAAAATGCAAAAATAATACTATAAGAGCAGTAATGAAATGCATTTCATTATTTTAACTGTGGATTTCTCAAATGTAAAATCGCATAAAATAAATCTGGGGCAATAGAACATAGTGCATGCTGTTAGCATCGTGTTAGAAAAACACAGGCTACGCTTGACCAGAAAGCATGCCCTGCACCTGCAATAGTTGCCTGGAAAATCTGTTTGGGGTGCAGATCTGTGTGCATCTTTAGTACAAATACAGCTGAATCTAACAAGTGATTATGTTAATCTTTGATTATTCTTCTTTCCCTCTTTGTGCCTACTGACTTCTGCACTTGTATGATAGTCCATTTTCTACAGCCTAAAATGCCTGGCATTTCCACAGAGGCTCTGGCTGGAGGATGGCAAATAGGCTAAGAGTACTTTAGCAAGACCAGTTTCCTTGGGCTCCTGGCCCAGTCAGTGGAGACGGGCTCCTCTGGGGAGAGATCCTAGCCAGGCATGTCAGAGTTGCTCTGCCTGATCCCCAGAGGAAGCTTTAGCTGTGATCCCTCTGTTGCAGAAATGTTAACACAGGGAGATAGCGGTGAGAGTTGCTCTCATTTCCAAGGCTGTCATCCATTTACCAGCACTAAAGCTGCCTCAGTAAGCTGTGTGAGCCCTCGACAGAACCTCTAACACTTCTTCTCTCCCATCTGCTGCTTGCAGACAGTGCTATTCTGGACGTGTGAAAAATACCCACGCACCAAGGATTGGCACTGCTTCACCGAAGCCTTTCTGCGGCTGGTGCAGAAGCTGCACAAGTGTGTAAGCCAGCACTTCCTCAAGCATTACTTCGTCAGGAACACCAATCTGCTCAAATATGCCAACACCAGTGACCTGGACCTTGTGGCCAGCAAGATCGCAGTCTTCTTGGAGAACCCCATCTTCTGCCTAGACTAAGGCAGGAAAAGTCCTCCTCACCCCAACCCTGAGCCGATCCCCCGCCTCCTGTCCCCACCTGTGGTTGTTCTTCATGTCCTTCCAGCAGATGTTGCAGCTGGCTTTGTAAGACAGTTGGCACATGCGGTGTGAAAGAGAAGTGTCGAACTGGCAGCAGTGGGCGGTGAAAACTGATGGGAGGTATCGCTTGATGCCCGCCTGATCTAATTTGCTTTCAACAGTGGCAGCCTGCATGGAAGCTACAGCTAGCGAAACCCAACTTTCTGTGTCACTCAGAGCAGGTGACTGCCTTGTCCTCTGTCCCTAGTCTTGTGGCACCTAAGCAGAAAGATGATGCAGAGAAGTCTTATTCTGCTGCCTACCGGCTGTGTAACCTAACACATGTATTGTTGCTGCCTCCCGTTTTCTCACAAAGACAGTGGGCTTAATTCCCTGCTTAACCCACAGGTCAGCTCTGCAGAAGAGCAGAGGAACATTTCTGAAGTGTACCGAAGCAGGAAGCTTTCTCTGAGGCCTTCAATGCCTCCATCTCCAATTAAAAGGGATCCTGCTCCAGTCAGAGATAACCATGCTGCTAGGGTTGAATAGCTCAAGGGAAGCAAGAGGAGGAATGGCGGTTTTAGCCACCTCCTTGTTTTTCTCTCCTTCACTTCCATTTTTCTTCCAGTTGCTTCAAATATGTTTTCTTCATGTTTGCCTTTGCCAGTTGTGTTAGTGCCATACAACCAGGGGGCTTTGCCAGAGCAGATTTCACTCCCACCCCTGGCTCCATCCAGCAGGCTGGAGAAGGAGCAGGTCTCTCCCTAGTTGTTAGCACCTACGTATTTTTGGGTGGTGTACCGAAGGAGAATATTTTTCAAAGGCTGTTAACTCCAAAACCCCCAGTTCTTTTAATATTATGAGTGTTTTAAAAAGAAAACCAGTTTTAGTGTTTCCAAAGAACAGAGTTCTAGAATGAGTACAAAGACCGTTGGTTTTAATGTTATTAAATCACTGAAACTAAACAAAAGTGGACTTTTTTTTCTTACACCTGTGCAGGAAAGCACAGAAGTATTTGCTTTGCCAAGGAAGGTGGCAGAGATAAGAGTTGCAGCCCATGCTACGGGGAGTTGCTGCAGTGGATGGCCTGCAGGATGACCATCCATGGCAGAGCATCTCCCCCTTGTGTCAAATTGTGGTGTAACGATGCGTCTCTAGCACCGCCACTACTTTCTGGCTTGATTTTGTACTCAGGAGTATGTTCACAAGTCCATGGAGCCTGATGGGGTTCACCCCAGAGTTCTGAAGGAGCTAGCGGATGTTACAGCAGGACCCCTCTCAATCATCTACCAAAGGTCTTGGCAGTCTGGGGAGGTCCCTGCTGATGGGAGCCTACCCAGCACTATTCTAATTTACAAGAAGGGCGGGAGGGAAGACCCAGGGAACTACAGACCTGTTAATGTGACTTCAGTTCCTGGGAAAAATATGGCGAAGACTATGCTGGTCACTACTGGGAGGCATTTAAAGAACAATGCAGTCATCAGGCACAGTCAACATGGGTTAACAAAGGGAAAGTCCTATTGAAATAATGTGGTATCCTCTTATGATAAGGTCACCCACCCTGTGGATGCAGGGAAGGTGGTGGGTGTGGTTTTCCTGGACTTCAGCAAGGCTTTTGATGCTGTCCCTCACAGCACCCTTCTGGACAAGTTGTCCAGCTGTGGGATGAGTGGGTTCATGGTGTGCTGGGTGAGAACTGGCTGAAGGGCAGAGCTCAAAGGGTTGTAGTGAATGGGGCTACATCTGGCTGGTGACTGGTCACCAGTGGTGTTCCTTGAGTCTCAATTTTAGGGCCGGTTCTGTTCAATATATTTATCAACGATCTGGATACAGGAGTTGAATGCACCATTAGCCAGTTTGCTGATGGTACCAAACGGGGAGGTGCTGTTGACTCTTGAGGGACAAGAGGCCTTGCAGAGGGACCTAGATGGATTGGAGTACTGGGCAATGACTAACTGGATGAAATTTAGGAAGTCCAAATGCTGGATTCTGCACCTGGGATGGAGTAACACTGGGCACAAGTATAAATTGGGAGAGGAGTTGCTGGAGAGCAGCCCTGCAGAAAGGGACCTGGGGGTGCTGGTCGGCAGCAGGCTCAATCCGAGTCAGCAGCGTGCCCTGGCAGCAGAGAGGGCAAACCCTGTCCTGGGGTGCATCAAACACAGCACAACCAGCCTGCCAAAAGTGGTGATTATCCCACTGTATTCAGCGTTGATGTGGTCTCACCTCGAGTGCTGTGTGCAATTCTGGGCCCCACCATTTGAGAAGGATGTGAAGGTCCTTGAGTGCCTCCAGAGGAGGGCAGCCAGGCTGGTGGAAGGGCTGGAAGGCATGGCCTGTGAGGAGCAGCTGAGGACCTTGGGCTTGTCTAGTGTGGAGCAAAGGAGGCTGAGGGGCAACCTCATTGCTCTCTGCAGCTTGCTGGGGGTGGAAGTGGGGAGGGAGGTGCTGAGCTCTTCTCCCTGGGATCCAGAGATGGGATGCGTGGGAATGGCTCAAAGCTGCGCCAGGGGAGGTTCAGACTGGACTTTAGGAAGCGTTTCTTTATCGAGAGGGTGGTCAAACACTGGAACAGGCTTCCCGGAGAGGTGGTCGATGCCCCAAGCCTGCCAGTGTTTAAGAGGCATTTGGACAATGCCCTTAACGACGTGCTTTAACGTCAGGTCAGCCCTGAAGTGGTCAGGCAGTTGGACTAAATGATCATTGCAGGTCTCTTCCAACTGAAATGGTCCTATTCTGTTTGCTTCCTTATCCTTCACCCAAGTATAGAAGGAGGCTTTCTTCCACAGTCAGTTCTTTAGCAGAGAAGATATGGGTCAGGCAGGATCCTAGCTTCGTGGTCATTCTTGCACTGGTCTCCTGCATCAGATCCTACTGTGCGCAGACCTGACCCTACCATGAAACCGGCACCCTCTTTGCTCAGGACCTGGGAACATTCTCCAAGTCGCCTTTCCACATGGGTAACCGCGTTGTGTGGAACTGTTTTGACAGGTAACTTCTCTTTGCTAAACCACTGTTCTATGGGCTTGTTTCTAAATGGGGCACAAGTGGCAGTCTCATGATGGCACCCCCCCATTAAATTGTGGCTTTCCTGTTTACAGCGAGCAGAGCTGTTTTGGCAAAAAGCAGAGAGATGCCAATCTGCTGAGCAGAGTCAGGCAGCTGCGACTAGGGAGTAAAGTCTCCTGTTTCATCTTGGTTTTGTCTTGTGGTTGAAGGGCTAGCTTCTGAAGCTGGAGGCGAGCAAAAGCAGTTTGAAAGGACAGTAAAAAAAGTTCAGGGCTCTTAATCCCAAGTTTCATATTTTAAGGCCCTGATGCATGATCCGTTTGTGATTTACATGTGGCTGTTGAAGAATTTATCTCCCTTTGTAGCCACAGGGAAAAATGTTTCAGTGGTGATGATACCTAACTTAGCTGCTGTGTATCCGAGTCCTCAGTCACCACAGTTCACAGCCTGCGATGCAGCGAAATCATGTGCTGCAGACCCTGAGGGGGAAGGTGCTGCTGCTCTGCCAGGGCAGCGGCCTCGCACAGCCGGGAGTGAATCAGCAGAGCCAGTAAGTAAGCACCGAACGATGGACTCCTGCTTTGAGCCAAGTCTGATCAATTTTTTCTCTCTTTTCTTGTTGATACAGAGGCAAATGCATCAGCTGGCATCTTCTGGCAGGAAATACCATCATGACTATATAAAAGTAAAGATTTGCCCTGAAGGTACGTTGCTACTGACCACAAGGGCACCGGAACCATCCCCAGCTTTTTCTCCAGGACAGCAAGACACGACACAACTGGCCACTAGCAAAGGGTGAGAGGAAAAAGCTATGAAGGAAGAACTTACATGCTCATTGAAGTGGTTGAGTACAAGAAGTTATTCCACCTCGGAGACAGGTGGGGGGTTATACTACGTACTGTCTTACATCATCTAGTGCAGGTCTGGTTGGGGGTGTGTGAGATTTTTGTGAGGCATTTTTTTGTGATGGTGGGAGAGTTGTGCAGCAGGTCATGGATAAAAAAACTTGCCAAACGTACTTGTTGCATTTCTTATCACAGTAAATTCCCTGAAAATAGCTTTTCACTTACACATCCAGCCTGATAGCAAAATCATGCCCTTATCCCAAGATTTTCCTCCAAAAAAGGATATCACATTGTGTTTTAGCTACAGAACAAGTTTTACATTTCATATTTTTATTTTTCTTTAAAAAAAAGTAGGCATCTTGACAAATACAGACTTTCCTGAAGTGCATGAAATTTAATAAAAGTTCTATCGTTGTTCAGAGCACATGGAAGGAATGACCATTCATTCTCCCTTTCCTTTGAATTGCTTTCTTGAGTATTTGCTCTGTCAGGGAAGGAAGGGGAATTATTGACTTTCATCATTTCTTTATGGTTGGCTGTGACTTTTTGCTTACCTCTCAGTTTTGCTTTCTCTCCAGAACTGAATTATTGTCTTTAAAACAAGAAGGGCCAAACAGTGGCCAAAAGGGAACTGTCTTGCATGCACACGAAGCACAGCACTCAATAACAACAGCGATTCCAAAAGCATTCACATAAGCAGAAGAGGGAGAAATTAAAATGCATCTTTGTGACGAGATACGGGGTGCAAGTGAGTATTTACAGCTGACGCACGGCTGAGCTCCTGGCAACCGTTGCCTTTGCACAAGGTGATGCTGCTTGGGCTGGGCGCTGACTGAGGGTGTTTTTCAAGGTGCCCTCAGCTTGTTGCTAGCTGCTGGCTGGGCTGGAGAGGTGTGTCTCCTCACTGTCCTGTCATGTGCTGGATGGAGCCTTAATTGCAGCTAGGGACGCTTTCTGAGATGGCTCATGGTAGGTGCTGAGGGCCTCCTCACAGCTACGGGGCATTCGCAGCCCCCACCACAGACACCATTGCTCTGTCTATCAGAAATTTCAATTTCAAATGTGTTCCTCTGTTACCACATAAAACCCTGAAAAACTCCTGATGCTCTAGTGCTTTTACAGTGTCTACCTTTAAGTCACTAGAGGGCAATGTCTCTCAAACACACACACCGATCCAGAATCTCACTCGCTG